CTACTTGCCCAACAACACAAACCTTTTGGGTTTAGGGTTTAGGGTTTAGGGTTTAGGGTTTAGGGTTTAGGGTTTAGGGTTTAGGGTTTGAGCCCCCTTGCTCCGGCCCCTATTTTGCACCACCGCGGCTCGAACCACCAAGACCTCATGTAATCCTCAGTAGGCCACTCGTTGAGCAGCCACCGTCCCATACAACAAGAGGTGGACAGCGCTTCGCCCCCTGAAGCCCATCGAAGCCACAAGAAGCCACCGAAACCACTCACCTGACACAGAAGATGCAGCATGCTGCCAATAGGTCGAATACACACGCAAGGGCTGCACTGCCCTGTTGACTGTGTAGAGAACTTTGTGTGGGCCTTACAATACCCCAAGACCTTGTTGGTCCGTCCGTGGCCGGCGCACGATGCTGGTAACGCCGGCGTCGTCGCCACCAGCCACGCCCGCCTCGCCGCCCCGCACAGCTCCCGGGCAGGTGCGGTGCGCAGGGGGCGAGGATCTAGGACCCACAACTCTATACCCTAAACCTCGACGTCCAAAACCATATACCCTAAGCCCTAAACCCCAACCCTAAACCCTGAACCCCAAGCCCTAAACCCTTGAATATAAGCCCTAAACCCAACCCCAAACCCAAGCCTTGTGTGTGTGCTGGAACCCAGCAGCGCACCCCTACAAACACATTGAGATCCCTGCAGGCCTACAATCCCAGAACTGCGAAGCCCCCAAACCCTAAACCCTAGACCCTAAACCCTCATCCCTAAACCCTAAAGCCCTAAACCCTGAACCCTGAACCCTAAAGCCCCAGACCCTAAACCCAGAGCGCTAAACCCCAAAGCCCCCTCCCCCCTCTCCTACGCGCCCCCGCAAGGCGCTAGCGCACCAGAGCACCGAGGAAGATGACCACTGGCCAGGAACTGAGAGCTGTACCCTGTACCCTAAACACTAAACCGTAAACCCTAAACCCTAAAGGTTAGGGTTTCAGGGTTTAGTGTTTTTTGGCGTGGTTCCGTAAAGCTTCAGACTTCAGGAGATAGGCCCCCTCTTCCCCTACACTTCTGAGGGCAGTTTCACTGGCCCTTGATTTGGTCCTCACCTCATCAAAATGTTCGGATGCAAGGGCCCCTAATTTGTATAGGGTGTATAAGGGGTATGTAAGGGGTACCCTTTTAAGGGCCCGTACTGAGGGAGTATGTAACTACATACCCCTTAACACACTCGCCACGTAACATCCCTAAGCGATAAAAACCTAAGTTCTTAAGTCCTTTAGTATGGGTCCTTTACGTTTGTTAAAGGGTTCTGAAGTATGGGCGCTTGGCTTTTATAGGGTATACAAGGGTTTTTGCAAGCTGTCCCCTGTTCAGGGACCATCCGAAGGGGCCGGAGAGGTAGTCGAGGAGTCTTCAAGGGCGTGATCTACATTGTGCGCATTTCGCCGTCTGAGGTTTAGGGTTAAGGGTTTAGGGTTTAGGGTTTAGGGTTTAGGGCCCTGACGACCCGAAAGTTCCTAGGGTTTAGGGTTTAGGATTGGGATGTTCCCCCTTATACTGGCAGTCCTTAATAGGCATTCTAGTACCCCCTATTATATTCCTTGTTAAGGACTGTTAGTATAAGGGGGAACATCCCAAGTTTTGGATTTAGGCTTTGGGTTTCGGGTGCAGGACTTGAAGGTCCAAGGGCCGTTGAGAAAGTAGGGCGCCAATACCTTACAGCGAGGGGTAACGCTAGACGTAACCTCTTCAAAAGCTATTGGGTGAATGTTCTAGGGAAACCGACTGAGAGGAGCTTAGGGTTTAGGGTTTCGGGCTGCGAGTTTTTGACCTTCAACGTGACTGCTATCATCCGACTCCTTAGCGTAGCCTGACCCCAACATCCCAAGCCCCTTACGCCCTAAACGCTCCCACATCCCCCCCCCCCCCCCCCCCCCCCCAATCCTCCACCCCAAACCCCAAACCCCAAACCCCAAACCCCAAACCCCAAACCCCAAACCCCAAACCCCAAACCCCAAACCCCAAACCCCAAACCCCAAACCTTTGAACCCTAAACCCTGCACCCTAAACCCTAAACCCAAATGGAAACCAATGAAACCATAGCAAGGCCCGAAGAGGCCCCCAAACCCCGGACCCAAAACCAAACAGCGCAGAAGGCCTTGGCCCTCAAACCCAGAAGTCTCCAAAGGGTCCTCCCCCTAAACCCTAAACCCTAAACCCTAAACCCTAAACCCTAAACCCTAAAGCCTCAATAAAGCCCATGAACCCATCGGCCTCCAGAAGCCCTCAGATCAGGTGATAGCCCACCCACCCCCCTACAGTGGTTACCGCCTTAGTCGACCACACCCGAAAGCCCTAACCCACAGGTACCCTAAACCCTCAACCCTAAACCCTAAACCCTCAACCCTAAACCCTAAGCCCTAAGCCCTAAGCCCTAAACCCTAACCCTAAACCCTAAACCCTAAACTAAATACCCTCCCCCCTTCTTCCAAACCTTCTCAAAACATCCAGGCATGAGTGTCAGGAGCCGGCTTGCTCAAGGACGTGGGGTGGTGAAAAGGGGGGGGGGGGGGGGTGGTAGTGTTTAGGGTTTAGGGTTTAGGGTTTAGGGTTTTGGGTTTAGTGTTTAGGGTTTAGGGTTTAGGGTTTAGGGTCTAGGGTGCACGCTTTGGGTTGCAAGGGGAAAGATCGCAAGACTTAGTAAGTGGGGTAACACGTAAAACAGCTATGCTCTTATTTGCTTTTGACCCCAATTCAGGTGCTGATATCCCTACTTGCTAAGTGCCTCGATCTTCCAAGCAGGGTGCACGATTTGGGTTTCAATGGTTTAGGGTTGTAGTGCAGAACTCCAAATCCTGAACCCTAAACCCTAGACCCCAAACCCCATTTAGCACCCTTCAGGGTTTGTAGGGCTTAGTGCTTCGGGGCTTGGGGGTTTGTAGGGCTTGTGTTTTGGGGGAGGGGGGGGGAGGAGTGTGGGCCTTAGGATGTCCTAGGACTGGGCATCAGGTCTTTAAGACTTAACGGGTTTATTTCTTCGGGGTTTTGAGTTTAGGGCTTGAGGGCTTCAGGCTTTAGGGCTTTAGTGTTTGGGGTTTAGGGTTTTAGGGGTTAAGAGTTTACGGCTGGTGGGGCATTTAGGGCTTCAGTGGTTTAGGGTTTAGGCTTGACCAAACCCTGAATCCCCTAAACCTTGAATCCCCCACCCTGAACCCATGAACCCCCCAAATCCGCTGAATCCTGAATCCCCTGAGCCCCCTAAACCCTACACCCTAAACTCTAAACCCCACACCCTAAACCCTAAACCCCACACCCTAAACCCTAAGCCCTAAACCCCAAACCCCCCCCCCCCCCCCCCCCCCCCCCCCCCCCCACACCCCTAGATCCTGAATCCCCTCAGCCCTGAACCCTGAAATTCGGTGGCTTTTGAATGCCACCTTTCGGATTCTTCAAGCCTCCATGATCAGCAGTCCATACCTTCCTTTAAACCCCCAGCCTCCGAGTTAGGGTTTAGGGTTTAGGGTTTAGGGGTTTAGGGTTTAGGGTTTAGGGTTTAGGGCTTTCGGGTTTTAGGGTTTTCAGGTTTAGGTTTTAGGGCAGGGCTTAGCCACAGGACGTTGAACTTTGGCAACCTCGATTCAACGGACTCCTTTCCAAGGCCCTTCTAGCAAGGGACATTCGTTTCGGTTTTTGGGGGGCGCAGGGTTTAGGGTTTAGGGTTTAGGGTTTAGGGAATTAAAACATATGGATCGTTTGAGCTTCCGAGTCTCAGCGTTGGAGTTCTTCAGGGCTATTGTCTACCACTTCTTCTATTGCTAATAAACCCTAAACCTTAAACCCTAAACCCTAAACCCTAAACCCTAAGCCCTAAACCCTAAACCCTAAACTCCTAGGGCTGTAGAGTTTAAGTGCACTTTGCGTTTGGGGGCTAGCCTGCGGGCTCGAAGGTGCAAGGGTTTGTTTTGGAGCCTTGAGTCCCTAAACCCTAAACCCTAAACCCTAAACACTAAACTTTAAACCCTAAACCCTAAACCCTAAGCCCTAAACCCTAAGCCCTAAACCCTAAACCCTAAACCCTAACCCCTGAAAGACAAAGCCCCCCTTAAAGTGCCCGGAGGCTGATCAGTGAGGACGTGGACAACGGCAGGCCAGCTTTAGGGTTTAGGGTTCAGGGTTTAGGGTTTTGGGGTTTCGGGCTTCTGGTTTGTAAGAACCCATATCTATGGTTTTAGGTCCCAAAAGGCCATAGTCCCAAACGGTTCCTGTAAAGGGGAGTTCTGGGGGTGCCTTTGCATTCTAGGGTTTAGGTTTCAGGGTTTAGGGCAGTGAGGTGGCTTAGGATTCGACTTGCATGGTGCGTGTGTCGAAGCGCCCCCACCTCTCCTCCCCCCCCACCCCAGCCCCGAACCCCTTTGCCCCGACCTTGTTTGCAACTGGCACGCGAAGTCTGCTTGGCAAGGGTTTAGGGTTCCGGGCCGAGGGGAATGTAGGGCTTAGGGCAGCAGAGTGCTGAGCGTTTAGGGTTTCTTTGTGAAAGGCGTTTGAGGGCTTTTCCAAGAGATCGGCGACGAGCATCTCTTGCTTATCTTCTAGGGTTTCAGGGTTTGACGGAGGGTGGAAAGTTGTGGGGAGCTGGCTGTGGACGCTGCTAAGCTCCTGCCTAAAGAAACCCACAGAATTTGGCGCCATCCGAGTTGCGATGCGAGTGTAGGAGCCTGAGTCTCCATATCTGGAGTAGTTCCAGTTGGGGGCTGGGTCGGTTCACGAGATAGGGTTTAGGGATGTAGGGACTCGTGTTCTGGGTGTAGGGCGAAGGCTTACCTTGAGTGCTCTCATGGGCACCTCACCACCTGGCTCAAGGGACCTCAGAAGGCATGTTCACCAGGACGGGCCATTATTCCCTCTAATCTAATCCCTTAAAAAGGGTATTATACCCTCTAATCCCTTAAAAAGGGTATTATACCCGGTATACCCTATATAACCCCTTAAGCAAGGCCCTTTTATACCTGCCATGCAATGAAGCGTCGGCGTTTGGTGGGGAAGCAGCCAGCCCGCGCCAGTGCGCCGGAAGCAGTGGCGGGAAGTGATGACAGCTTCGTTGCTGGGGCGGCTGAGACGGAAAGGACCACCGCGACAGCGGCCAACACAAATGCTGATCCACCGGAAGACGTCAAGAACCTGCAGATTCTTGGGGCTTTGTTGCTCAGAAGAACTGTCTCAGTCAAAGATGTGTTAGTCGCCAAAACGCCCTGGCATAACACAAACGGTGCAGTTCCTTTGATGTTGAAGCCGGGCCAAGTGAGATCTAGTGATTGAGTGGCGTATGTACTTCTAGGGCCGTGTTATGCCCATCCTACGCATAGCCCGCCAAGCCTGTCAAGTCCTAAGCTTTGGACCTAAGCCTTGAACCCCATACCCTCAAACTTCAACCCACAGTGCAGACTCCCAAGCCATCTCAGGTTTGATTTGAAGCGTCGCTGGAATGTGCTGGACAGTCGCGAGGACTGTCCCTTGCAAGACGACGGGGAACGGCGGGACATGCTGGCGGAAATGTCGAGGACCCTCAAGAGAGGCTCCAGCTCCTGGCAGAATCCCTTTGGAGGGGACGACAAGGAACTCGAAACTTTAAAAACCCTCAACCGAGATCAGTTAAGGTTTCCGGTTCAGTTTCCGATTTTGGAGGTGTAGGTTCTTTTTTTTGCATATAGGGTTTTACGGTTGGCTTGGGCCGAGCTGTCAGGAGTACTTCTTGGATTCCTTTTGCGAGCTGGCAAAGTACCAGCAGAAGGCCTTCTTCCGCATTGCATGCAGCTGTGCATCCAAGGGAGGCGGGCTTGTTTCTCCGTCCGATTGGCACCGCACCTTCAACCCTACGCCCTACACCCTAAGCCCTAAACCATAAACCCTAAACCCTAAACCCTAAACCCTAACCCCTTGTTGTAAGAAATGAGTTGAGCAAGATCGTCGCGCCAGGTGGAGATATGATCGGGCTGAATTTCGACGAGCAAGGCCCAGCCGTTTGGCAGTTCAACGCCATCGGCCGGCAGATGACTGACGATGACCTGCGGCGAGTGCTTCTAACTCCTCCCGAGCCGCCCTTCTACGTAGACCCGCTGAGGGGATCTGACGAGCAGAAAGGCTCCCAACTTGAGCCATTGGCCTCCTGCGCCAAGGCGCAAGAGCTTGTTGCAGCCTACCAAGACCGGCATCCCGAGGCTGATCTCGAAGGCCAGCCTGTGGTGAAGGTGACTTGCAGACCTCCGACTTGCACCTTTCTGCGATGCGCTGTGCAGGGCTGCCGGAACCAAGTGTGCAAGACGCATGGTGATGGCAAGGGCACCTGGGAAAACAACTGGGTTGACTTCGACTTCTCCTTCCGCGTTGTCAAGTGCGGGTGGGAAGGCTGCGAGGTTGCGTTTTGCAGCCGCCACGCGAGCAAGATGGGAAGCTGCGAGGTCTGCACGCATGGGACGCAAGCCGAGGCGGGGGCTGTCTATCCATCCTCCTTTCGGGTAGTTACACATGGTCCCGTGTATTGTGGCCCTTACCTTCTTTAAAGGGTTCTGACGTATGGGTCCTTGGGTTTATAGGGCTAGGGGTACATGTGTAGCATATAGCGTCTATTTATAGGACATTCCCTACAGGTCCCGCAAACACGACTAGGGAGGCATGGACGGTCCATTCCATGCCACAAACACCTCAACCCCTACCATAGACACCCAAATAAGTAGGATTCGCTTAACAGCAGGACCCCAAGAAGGTACCCCCTAATTTCTGAATCTCCCATTTGAGGCAGCGATGATAGGTGAAAGCTGTCCTCCCCTGGGCTTCTTCTTCTGCGACCGGCATCTGACACGCTGCCGCAAGCGGTTGGACGCGCTCACAGAGGCTCAGAACCCCACTCAACTCCAAAACGCCAGAACGCTACTCCCTGAACCCTAAGATACTAACGGGGAACATGCTGTTGGCCTAAAGGCTGGAAACCCTAAACCTGAGAGGCCAAAAAGCTTGGGTTTTGGGTTGAAGGCTCAGATCAAGACAACTAGAATGGGGTGTGTGTGTGTGTGTGCGTGCATGCAGTGCGAAACTGCTATGTTCCTAGGCTTTGTCGGATGTGCGTAGTTTCATACACGTTGGTGAGGTAGGCCATAAACCCTAAAGTCCTAAACGCTGTTGTAAACTCTTAACCCTGAGCCCTATTAAACCTTTAACCCGAAACGAATTCGAAGCTTACTGTGGCAGCCCCCAGTGTCCAAGCCAGCGGCTTATCGGCAGGATGATGGCAGCGAAGTGGATGAAGACGAGTCCGCCAGTGACGAGTGTGGGTTCTACTGCTGTCCTGCGTGCATTGACAGCCACAGGTGTGGTGATAACCCTCTAGACTACGTCTGAAAACTTCGGGCTTTGGGTTTAGTGTTTAGGGAATCTGAAACGTACAGCCCGCTTGTCACTTTGATGCAAGCTGCGCTGCAAGCGCGCGCCCTTCCCAGCTGTGCAACCTGCAAGTCTAGCTGCAGGAAAGCCCTTGGTTTGATACTTTGAAACTTGATGAAACTTACAGACCACCGACGGTACGACAGCTCCGAGCGTCACGTGGATGACGAGGGGGTTCTTTCAAGGTATTGACTGGGGTCCGCAAGGCTGTGTACCCTAAACCCTAAACCCTACACCCTAAAACCCTAAAACCCTAAAGCCCTAAACTGCCCTCCCCCCCCCCCCCCCCCTTCCTTCCCTCAAACGGTGCCAGGTTCGTTTCTCTGACAGAGCCGGCCATGACTCCGCCGTGCAGCCTGTTGGGGTCCAAACACTGGGACTCAGGATTTAGGGTTGAGGGTTTAAAACCCTTTGGGTTTAACTAACCCTAAACCCTAACCCCCAAACCCTAAACCCTAAACCCTAAGCCCCCGAAGTTTTAGTGGCATTTGGGTTTAACCACCCTTACAAAACCCATCAACGCCCTAAATTTAAGAGCCTCCGGCTCAAGCCGCCGACCCCGCTGGAGCATAGTTGAGACCCGCTCGCATGGAAGATCATCCCCGGCAGAGTTCTGTGAATCGTTTGGGGGGGGGTAGGGGGTAGCACCAGGACAAGCTCAAGTCAAAAAGACAGGTGGGTGGGGGTGGGGGGGGGGGGGGGGGGGGGGGGGGGGGGGGGGGGGGGGGGGGGGGGGGGGGGGGGGGGGGGGGGGGGGGGGGGGGGGGGGGGGGGGGGGGGGGGGGGGTGGGGTTGGGGGGGGGGGGGGGGGGGGGGGGGGGGGGGGGGGGGGGGGGGGGGGGGGGGGGGGGGGGGGGGGGGGGGGGGGGGTGGGGGGGGGGTGTGGGGGGGGGGGGGGGGGGGGGGGGGGGGGGGGGGGGGG